CATGGCTTCCACATTTAATTATGGATGGATAATTGATCCCAAAGCATCCAATCTAGAGGAAGCCAGCAATCTATGAATTGTGAACCTTGACTAAGGCAATTACATTCTTTTCCTTGAGGATTTGAATTGAAAAATGCAAAAACTATTGTCATACAGTGGTGGAGTGAGAATTGAAAGGTCATACAATTGGGGGCTAATGCAGACATATTTGGCCATCAACAAACTAACGAATAAAACCTTTAGAATCAGTACAGTGAAGCAGTGGTGTTAAGAGAAGCAAGAAGCAAAGATCCACCATCTTCTAAGAGATAAATTACCTTGTGCTTCTGTTGGTTTTTTTAATTACCATGATACCTGGTTTTCTGTCCTTGGATTTGCATTACCCTGATTTAGTTAACATCTGTTCATTGCAATCATTAATGTCCTGACTAACATAGCCACCCATGGCCACAAAGTCACTTCTGGTAGTCACTTTGATATAAATTCGGTTGGCTTGTATTGACAGATGTAATTATAAGCAGAGGTATGGCACTTAATACCTTATTTTTTAGTGATGTTGGGTATCCATCATAGTATTTTTCAGCATTCTTATTAGCCCTTAATACCACGTGTATAAGTCAGAGTTCTCCAGAGAAACGGAATCTATAGAACCAATAGGAGATAAATATATATAATGAGGAATTGGTTTATGCTGTACAGAGGCTGAGAAGTCCCACAATGTGCTGTCTGCATCCTGGAGAGTCAGGAAACCTGGTGGTGTAGTTCACTGTGAATCCAAAGGCCTAAGAACCAGGTAGCTGATGATGTAAGTCTCAGTCTCAGGACAGGAGAAGACTGATGTTCCAGCTCAATCAGTCAGGCAGAAAAAAGGAGTGAACTTTTCCTTCTGCTACCTTTTGTTCTACTCAGACCCTCAACATATTGGACGAGGCCCACCCACATCAGAGAGGGCAATCTGCTTTAGTGAGTCCACCAGTTCAAATGCTGATCTCATCCAGAAACACCCTCACAGATACACCAAGAAATCATCTTTATCTAAATATCAGGGCATCCCATGATCCAGCCAAGTTGACACGTAAAATTAACTATTACACCAGGCAGTGCTCTTAAGTAACTGATATAGTTTTTCTCTTGTTTTGTTGTGACTTTTACTTTGAATTTTAGGAAGCCTGGAGTCAATGTTGGTATTCACTCTAACAATATATAGGATATTAGAGAATGACTTTCAGTAAATAAAATTTATTCCAGCCTTATCTTATTTTCTTTGTTTTTTTTTTTTTTTTTTTTTGCCTTCATCTGAACACTTCTAGCAATATATTTGTTTGTTCAGTTGACTATATTTGTATAAGTCATCTCAGATCATTTTTGGGAAGAGGCAAGTTAAATAAAAGAGAACCGGAGTTAAGTTGAAGCATAAATATACACAACCTTTTAAAAAAAAGTTTCTATTAAAGTTTCTATTAAAGAAAATAATAAATAAAATAAAATAATTCTATTAAAGAAAATAATAAATAAAATAAAATAAAAAATAAATAAAAAGTTTCTATTAAAGAATTCTGCTGTGACCATTATTCCAGATATGTCTACAGCACAAATATTTACCCATGATGGATACTTTTAACTTTTCTTGACTTAAAGTCAAGGATGTTGGAGAATCACAGACAGGAAGGATAGTTTTGGTCATAGAGAAAATTAAAGATCACAATCAGAATTTATGCCTGTGCAAATGGACAAGAAAAATATAAACTGTTGCATGGATATATTTTGATTAGTACCATGATTCTGAAATAATACATCTACTGACAAGCCTGAACTTCCCAGGAATCATTTGTTGGCACTATTCTGTTGTACAGTGAGGGTCAAAGCAGAGAGTTGCAGAAGCATTCGATACGCTTCTTTCATATTGTGAAAATGTTTAAAGAAAACTACAGTCTATTTGCTGGGTCTTATAAGTTTAAAAAATTACTTTAGAAATTATTCAAGGAAGTTTCTTCATAAATGAAATGAGATTTCATGACGTATTGCCTAAGGCATGCATACAATATTCCATTTTATGTATCCAAACATATCTTGGCAGCAATTTCCTCTGAGGCAATAAGAATGAGTCAAAATAAATAAGCTCCAAAATTCCTTATAACTTAAAAAAAAGTATTCTCTGACTCTATAATAATTTAAATATATGAGAAGTCAGAAATGAATTTTTAACTAATCTTTAGGCAAGCTTAAATATGGGGCGTGGTATTTAGACTTGTTTATGGACCATTCCCACTACTTGTTAAGCTTCTAAAAATATAGGTTTAGCACTATACTTTGAAAAGCTCTGTAAAACATCTGTATGTTGGGTTTATTTTTTTACAATGTGTTGTCACCTCCATTTTAGAGATGCAATTTAGTCAGAGAATTCAGAATTTTGAAGGTGGAAGGGTGATTAACACATGAGGAAAACAATCTAAAGAGCTAAGGTGGTTGTTCAAGGTTCATGGCAAAGCCAAGACTAGAACCTGGCTCTCCAGATTCTCAGTCTACAGGACTTTCTCTTATGATATACACATCTGTTGTACTTTAATTCTCATGTTTTTTCAGTATTTGAGCGATTTTTGTTGTAATATTGTATATTTGTAGGATGGTCATTTAGTCTTTGGGCTCTTGAGTTTCTCCATCAGTAAAATAAAGGACAATGGTAATTTAAACTGTTATGCTATGGTTGTTTACTGTTGTGGTGAAAAAAGATAAATGTAAAAGCTATAAGAAGCGAACGTTTAACGAATTTGCATTAGTTGAATGCACACTGCAGTTTTTTCCCTTTGCATTTTCCAAACTATGTCTCTGCAGGAACATGGGTGCATCTTTGTGATCTCACGGGATAGGCTTGGCCATAGAGAGATGGAATTCATTCATGGAGTGCCTCCTTTAATGGTTGGCCTGCCATTTATTCTAATTCAGACTTTTTTGATATTGGCATAGACTGCTCCACTGTGGCAACACATTAGGGTAGGGCCCTCAAGTTTGACTCTTTTCATGATTTTCTCTTATTTTCCGGCAAACTTAGTCTCCTAAGTTCTGCATCTTAGTGTGTCTGGTAACTGTAATTTAGAGACCTGCTAATTCTAGCTAATATGTAACCATTCTTTGATCAGTTGCCTCCTTTCAGATAATGATTTCACTGTGCATAAAACTTGGGGTTTGTAGCAATCTATCCTAATAACTGGGGAACCTCTTCTGCCAAAGAGTCCACTTAGCAACTCTGATATAAAACCATAAATGATTATATATAATGACAAGGTATGACAGTAGTGGATAGCTTTGATCTATATTTTTGTTATGGTATTGGATCCCTAAAATATGCAGCTCTTGCTGTTTGTGAATGACTAGTAAGGAAGGGAAACTGTGTGATTCTACTTTGACAAATTTGTCTCTCAGGATTCAAGAACCCCTAATCTCTCAAATTACTATTTTCTTCCTCTCCAAATAAAGCACCTTATTATTCTCTCCATCCCTTCATCAAAACTTGTTCTCAGTTTCTTTATTTAGGTCAATAGTCAAATGACTCAATATCGCAAGTTCTTTAGAAGAGATGCTTTGATTTTAGCAGTATTGCTTATTTAAAACTAAAGATTTAAAGTTAACCCTACTCTACACAATTTTGGACATCAACAATTTCAGAGTATAGATATAGGCAGTGAATACATTCTTAATAGTGGGGAAAAGACATTTCATCTCTCTTTTCTCAGAAACAGATGAGGTAAGACTGGGCACAATGCTCTAGATTTGTCATATTTCCTATTGCTCTCTGTGTTTCAGTGTTCTGCTCACCAATATTCCACATTTTCTGTCAGATGCATTAGGCATTGACCTTTGGAAGATGAAGTTATCTTCTAACTTGTCAATATTTTCCAAGGAGCTTCTCCAGGAATTCTTCAGCATGCAGGCTCTAGCCTTTGGGCCAATATACTCTCTCGTCATCAAAGGCTGTCATATATTATATACTAACCTTAAGTGCTGAACTACATATACGATTAAATACTTTAAGCAAGAAAACAGATAAATGCACACACATGAGAGGTTTGCCAGATTCTGACTTTCTAAAATTAAATGTATATATAGCTGAAACAAATAATTTGTAATTTTGGACATAGGGATGAATGCATAAACCCTAGCCAAAATCACAATGATAAAATGTAGATCCCCACCAGTATTATCAGTCATGCCCAATGTACTGAATGCTACCATGTGTTACCTCACTGTATTAACTGTATTAACAACCCTGATAGTTTCCAGACTTGGACAATTTAATTTTTTCTGAGTTGGTGTTCATCTGGAATCAAGTGGACACGTTTTGAGAATATTTATTATGCATTTGAGATTTTTGTTACACATAAGAGAAGTAAATATAAAAGTCATAATAAAATGACTTTTCCACATAGCACTTTACATTAAAGATTGTGAAGGAATATTCCTTCTATATTTAAAAACATAGGATATTTCCCCTACATGTTAAGTTGACTCGAAGTTTTTATATTCATAAACTTATAAAAGATTTTAATTTGTGCATATTAAAATGTATTCCCAGTTGCACTCTTTCTACATGTTGAACAAATTTTTTTAAATTTTTCCAGTTTTATTGAGATATAGTTGATATATAACATTGTATAAGTTTAAGGTATACAACATATTGATTCAATATGTATATAAATATATATATAGAAATGGTTACCACAATAAGTTTAGTTAACATCCATCACCTCACAGTTAGAATCTTTCTGTTGTACTGAGAACTTTTAAGATCTATTCTCTTAGCAACTTTCAAATACACAATACAGTATTGTTAGTGCATTGTATAGTTTTAATCTTGAGTAAGAAATTTTAAAGTCTTTATATTTATGATGAAATGAATGTTAACTACACAGTTCCAAAAGTATGAAAATAAAGCCATGAGAAAAGTGTTATAAAAGTACTGTATTTTCTCTTGTGTTTAGCATACATTTCCTTTTACATTTCAGAGCTTTTGGATCTAAACAGAACATCAATCTTTCACAGCCCTTTTGGATTTCTTGATCTGCATACAATGCTGCTGGATGAATATCAAGAGAGACTCTTCGTGGGAGGCAAGGATCTTATATATTCCCTCAGCTTGGAACAAATCAACAATGGCTATAGAGAGGTATGGAAACATCAAACTATATTTCAGGAGGGAAAGAAAAGGGGTGACGGAGATATCTTCTTGTACGGGTGTTACTTGGATTAGTTTTTTCATTTTCTTGGCCACTTTAACATTCTGAGTGATAATATTATTGATAGAAATAAAATATTCATTAAACATGAAATCATTTTGACAAAAGCTTATCAATTATCAAGAATGAACTTTTTCAGCACACCAGTGATCTCTGTTTTCCCAGAAGACTTCAGATTGGAGCATTTGCCGTTACTCTTGCATGATGGCCCTTGTCACCACATCTGCTATCCTGAGACCTGGATTTGGAACATGCTGATTTGTAGTAGTCCCCTTAGGCTTTATTACTCCAAAATCCCAGCCTGAAGAAATATGGATGTGTGATCTTGATATAGTGAACTCATGTAGTTCTATTGGTAATATCACTAATTCAGATGGATGCTGCTTAAACCTGGAGGATTAAAGTATATTAAAATAGGCAAATGCCCAATATTTTCAAGGAAAGTTTAACTTAATAAGAAGAAAAGTAGTTCTTGTAGTCTATGCTTATACAGAACTGAATTGGGCTAAACTTTTTTCAGACCCATGTCAACCTTATATAAAAGATGCAGAAATATTTATACTATTAATTTTTTTGCATAAATGTATTACATATTTTCTTATAATTTAATAATTTATTTCTATGTTTGTTAAAATGATCACTATCCATATTTTTTAAAGTCATTTTTAAATAATTTATGATGAAAGGTAGCATCCTTTCGTCCCTGCCAGTTCCTAATTCCTAGAGGAAATTATTTAAAACTGCTCTGTTATTTCTTCTGGTTCTTACCTCCATATTTCTATTTATTTCTATATGTGTACATATTTCTATATGTGCACTGTTATTTCTTGGTATCATTGATTTTAGACAATATTTGTTGACTTTCTGTTTAGGAAGATGAAGATTTTAGCTTTCTTTATTTGCAATACGATAGCTAAAATATCTGTGCACTACTGCACCGGCAACACCCAGTCATCTGCCCCCTCATCTTCCCAATGTAGCTACACCATAACTTTCAGTTAAGTAATAACTATTTACGTAGTAGTAGCTATTTACATATTATTTAAATACGTTATTATAATTAGGAAAATATATCGCACTTCTTTCCCCCTCAGATTAAATATTATCCCTTTTTTCCATTTGCTTATATTTTTATATTACTCTCACTAATTTTTCACCAAACTCTCTACTAGAGTCTTTGTACTCCTCTCAATGTAGTGAACTGCAGTGGTTTCCATCAGGTCCAAGTTTTTGGTTTTTAAATTAGAGATATCCATCTTGGTTCTCTTGTCTCAACCGTCGTCCTGGAGCATCCCCTTGATCTCCTACTTGTATAGCCTTCTTTTTGAATTTAATATGACATTTTACTGAAACACACCTTCTACTAGATTCTTGAAGAAGGATCCAAAGTAAAATTTTGAGTTTTTTATGTTTGAAAATAATATTATTCAAACTTCACACGTAATTGATAGATGGATGTAAAATTCTACAATGAAAATCACTTTCTTCAGAGTTTTGAGGATATTGCTCCATTGTTTTCAGACTTCCAATACACTGCTAAGTCTGATGCCATTCTAATCTCAAAGTTTTGTATATAACCTGTTTCCTGCCACTTCATCCCTCTAATTCTGATCCATGCAGCTCTGTGTTTTAAAATTTCCTCAAATTTCTCTTAGATTTTTTCATCCACTGTGCTGGAACACAATGGACCTTCTACAGAGGACTCTGTGGCCTTCAGCTCTGGAAAATGTTCATTATTTCTTTGATGTTTTTCCTTCTTTCCATTTTCCTCCCGACTCTCTTTCTGGGACTCCTGTAAGTCAGATTTTTTTTCTCAGTTGTCTGGCCTTCCTATTTTTTATACAGACTTGGAACTGTTTCTTCTGGTTTCATCCACACCCACCACTTTTCCCATTCTCAGTGGGACTCTAGACTTCCAATTCCTCAGAATTTCTGAAGTTCGTTTTCATGAATCAGCTTGTTTATTAGGTCCCTTCACCTTGCAGGCATTTAGATTTCAGCTTTTCTAGTACGGAAAGCCAGTCAACACTTGTCCACACGTCGTAGAACTTCCCAAATGTTGCTGATATTTCTTTGGCCTCTCCACTCAAGTTCTATTAGTCCTGTTTGGATTATGTCCTTTTACTAACATTTTAGTAGTTACAGGATGGAGTGGAAGCACATATTGTGTTTCACTCTCTTTCCTTTTTTCTATCAACTTTTATTTTCTCTGTAGTTCTCAAAAGAGATGATCTCTCTTTGTCTCTACATGTATATTTACAATATATATTTTAAAATTGTATGTGTATTTATATATAAACTATGAATATACATTTATATTACACATACACATACCCTCCCCCATACACACACGCGCATCTCTAACACCATCAATGACCTCCTCTTTCCAGTCAAATTCAATGGGTTTTTCTCTCCCTCAGATAGTCTTTTCCCACTAACTGTGGCATTCACCTCATGGCTTTCTTCTTTTTGTCTCAGTTAGATCATCTACATACTCCACTTTTCTGTGAAGGAATATCTAAGCTAGGGATCATAAGTATGGAGGAGCCATAGAACAATCTCTGTTATGGGCTGAATTTTGTCCGCCTTATTCATATGCTGAAGCCCTAACCCCCAGTACCTCAGAATGTGACTCTATTTGGGGATGGGTTCTTTAAAGAGGTGATTAAGGTAAAAATAAAGCCATTAGAATGAACCTTAATCCAAACTGACTGATGTCCTTATAAAAACAGGAAATTTGGACACACAAAGAGACATCAGGGATGTGTGCCCACAGAGGAAATACCCTGTGAGAACAGAGTGAGAAGGCAGCCATCTGAAAGCCAAGGAGAGAGGCCTCAGAAGAAACCAACCTTGCCGACACCTTGATCTTAGACTTCCAGCATCCAGAACTGTGAAATTTCTGTTGTTTAAGCCTCCAGTCTGTGGTACATTGTTATGGAAGCCATAGCAAACTAATACAATCCCATATTAAAGTTATAACTATGTGAATATGAAAAGATCCTCCAAAGGATCTGACACCCAAAAGGTTAAGAATCTTCACATTAAGGAAGTAGTTCTTAAATTGTTGTCCTTTGATCAGAATCATGTAACTCTCATAGAATGGGTCTCTGGAATTCACATTTATAACAAGCTTTCTAGATGACTTTTATTATACAGTCTCATAATTTTCCTGAGCCGTTTCCTATGTGGAACTAAGACCAAGAGATAGCAGCTTCCCTCTCTAATGTGATTCCTCTTTAGAGTAGGGGAAATTGAATCACTTATTCTCCTTTACAGTTTTTGCCTAATTGTACCCTCAAGCCTTTAATGCTGGAAAGACTTGCTTTTATGGAGGAAGTGACCTGTGAAGACTATGTAAGAGTAAGAGACCTGGAAAGTGATGATGTCTTATGAACTGCATCTTGGGGAGCAAAACAGAATAGTATGTGGCCATTGAAGCTTCCTGGTGCCAGCTAGCAAGGATGTCAAGGAAAGTAGCGATACAAATTATTACATTGAATAACTTTGCTACATTCTAGGGTAAATCTTCATTTTGTGTGGCCTGAAGTGTCTACAGTTTGGTGGACCTCCTCAGAAAATACAATTATTTCAAACATAAATTTAAAAATTGCTAAGGTCCCCCCCAGGACTGCAAAAGGGCTGAGTGCCAGCAAGGGGTCCCAAAGCTTAAGCTTCATTAGCTCTGAGGTGACTTCACCTCACCTGCATTTGTTATTTTGTACTTTTCTAGACTCTTTCCACAGAATGATTAGCAATAAAACTCCAAACAAGCCTTTTGTGTTTGTTTTCAGTAACAGCAGAGTTAGAGTGAGGTCTGCTTCATAGACATTCTGTTTAAAGGAGTGGACTTAAGAATGAGAGCCAGTGCCTCAGTGTCGTCCAGGCTCTGAAGACGTGATGTGTCTGCTCCCGGACCAAGCTCTCCTCCTGTCTTTTCTGGCCCTTGCTCCTTCGATTATTTACCTGTCATTATATTTTGAATCTCTTCTGCTTTGCGTTGTCTAACTCTGAGTTTCTCAATCTCGGTACTACTGACATTTTGCATTAGTCTAAGTTGGGAAAGGGAGTGTCCTGTGCACTGTAGCATGTTTAGCTGTATCCCTAGCTTCCATCCAATAGATGCTAGTAGAACTCTCCCCCAAATCATGACAATCAAAAAGTCTCCAGACATTGCCAGATAACCTCTGCAGGCAAAACTGCTTCAGGTCAAACCGCTAAACCTAGTTCATCATTCTATAAGCAGGATCCAGGACCGCTCATAAAAAAAAAAAAAAAAAATACTCCCTTAAATCTGTATCTACCTGGTGATAGAACATACTTCCTTCTTCCTTTGGGATCAGGGGCCTTGAAAGAGTAGCCAAAGCTCATTTTCACTACTTTCTCACTTTCTACTTACTTCTAGGTTCTACACAAAAGAATATAATGTAGGGGCCGGCTCCGTGGCCTAGTGGTTAAGTTCGAGTGCTCTGCTGCGGCGGCCCAGAGTTCGGATCCTGGGCGCGGACACGGCACCGCTCGTCAGGGCACGTTGAGGTGGCATCCCACATCCCACAACTAGAAGGACGTGCAACTAAGATATACAACTGTGTACGGGGGTGGTTTGGGGAGATAAAGCAGAAAAAAAAAAAAAAGACTGGCAACAGTTGTTAGCCCAGGTGCCAATCTTTGGAACAAAAAAAAAAGATTGGCAACAGTTGTGAGCCCAGGTGCCAATCTTTAAAAGAATTAAAAAAATGAATATAACGTAAATATGTTAGAAAGCATAATAATGAAATTAACATCTGTGAACCCACCAGCCAACTCAAGAATGAAAATATCACCTGTCCCATAGTAGGTACAGCTACCCTTATCTCCTCTGCCTTTCCCTCCTCAGGCCTCCTGCTGCCTAGAAGCAATGACCCTGGATTTTATGTTTATCCATTTTTTG